TCTGATTCTGCAGTTGCAATTATTTCTTCGAACTGTTTCTCAAAATCTATAAAACCAATGGAAGTTGCAGACATTATAATTTGTTTGTGTATTTCACATGGGGTATCTTCATTTGTAATTTTATTAGTTCCATCTGTTTCATTCGTTATTACAATAAACAATGATAGAAGTAGTGAGTGTATTTCAGTGAGAGATTGACACTTTATTAATACACCTATTGATCGTATAATAACCTCTCTCACTCTTCGAGAAACTGTTTTTAATGGCGACCATTTGCTACAAATTTTAACGAAATGTGCTACATCTATTCGGACATAGCATTGGGGTACCCAATATGTATCTCGGTCCAATTTTTCGGTTAACAAGTCTGCACAAATTCTAATGTAGTCCTGCAATGAAGAATATTGTGTGAAACTTTTTACAATTGCCGATAGAAGAGCCAGCGATTGGTCACAAACGGTTTCCTTAGGTTTTCTTACATCACACTGTAACCAATTTGATAACCAATTCGAAATAGCAATGTTCGTATGACGCTCACTTAACATGCTTGTGACAGTAAAACTTTGCTTCTTCTGTGAGTCATATGCTAATGCTTCATATAAGAAAATGGATTTACTTTTTGCTGTGCCATATTTTATAAACTTCTTTACAATTGAGCCTGTAGCATCAATTATAAGTTTAGGGTTATTTAGTTTACAATAACTTCGGTACAAGTGTACTTGCTCTGCACAGTGATAATATACGTAAAATGGATCAAATCCAATGTCGTGAATTATGTCTTTGAAGTCATCTTCTGTTTTCATTATAGCTAACGATGTTAAAGTGTCTTTGTGCCTACGATTCGCCTGTACTACTCTAGTTTTTAAAATACGTAGAGCATTCCTACTCGGAATGATTGAAGGATCTGGTGCTCCTAAAAAATACATATTGATATGCGTTAAGCTTAAAATTTTATAAAAGCTGCTAGTATAATTAATAACTATGTTTTATTAATACAGAAATTGTATTGTTATAATGCATATTATAATTAAATGCTCTATACAAAAATTCTGTTGTTATTATGAAATAGGAATTACATTTTATATACATGTTTTTTGAAATGTTTTCAAACGTATGAACTATATACGAGAGACCTTGTTGTTTAAATGTTATGTTTAACATAAAATTAATTATTATGTGCGAAGGTAGGCAACTAATATGAATTATTGTTGATGAATGAAAAATTAAATTGAACAACCGTCAACTGATAATTTGATCAAATGTTTCAAATAGGTACATATGTAATAAGTAATAAAACCTTACCTTAATTTCTTGGAATATCAGTCATTAGAATATAGGTATTTTAACAAAATAAGAAATTGAAATATTCAATGAATGAAAAAATAACTAGTTACTTATTATTTTTAACGAGTTAGATTACATTATTTTACACATTAAATTCAACTAGTTAAGTTACAAAGTTAATATGACTTAAAACAAACTAGGTAAGTTAGATAGTTACTTAAAAAGTAACTTTATAACTTAATTTTAACTTTCTAACTAGTTAGTGTTACATACTTGTTTTAGATTCTGAGTGAAACGATGAATGTATTGATTTTACAATGATGTGTGTGTGTTTTTTTTTTTTTAAATTTAAAATTTTTTTTTTTCGTCTGTCATCACGTTTAAGGACAGTAAAAGTGCTTGGAATTTCTTCAACAGTAGCTTTTCCGATAGAAAAGTGAATCTAGTTGGTACTTTGGGGGGTCAAAAGTAAAAATTTCCCAGTAGTTTTCACAAGCACCGGGAAAAACAACATAAAAATTAAGGGAAAACGGGAATTTTTACGCAAAATAGGTTTTCCAAAAAATCGATTTTCATTTTTAGTGGAACTCTAAAAGAAATGAACGTATATACATGACATTTTCACTGGTTGTTTATATTTGCATTTTGTATACCTACACGATAACATTTTAAAAATAGTTTGATTTATTTTGAACTGTTTAGGGACATTTTCATTTTCCATCTTTTTTTAGTTTTTTTTCTAAAAATATCATAAAGTTTTATCTGTTGGGCCAAAAACTGTAAAAATGTATTACAAGGCTCCTGATATATTGTTACAATAGCAATTGAAAACTATTAAAAATACATATGCACAATTTTTTTTTTATAAGCATTTAAAGATCGAATTTTGACAAAATTTATCAAAATCTCGACAATTATCAATCATTGTAATTAATAAATTATAAAATGTTCAGTTTTTATAGCTAAGGATAGCAAATTTAAAACAAAGGTTCTCATAAATAGTTCATACTGTAACCAAAAAATCTAAAAAATATATGAACACAGTTATTTTTTACAGACATTTTAAATTCAAATTTGGACGAAATTACATATTAGAAAACCTAGAATAACTATTTTAGTTATTTTGTGGTGATTGAATAATATTATTCGTGGGTACTTGAAACATCTAAAGTGTACTATTATATATTTATGATAGTATCACGGTTTTTGTTGATGTATAACGCGTTATAAGTACCTAATGGATATTGTGATATGATTAATTTGGAATTTATTATAGGTACCTATTATAGGTCAAATTTTGGTTTAGTACCATAGATATGTATATAATATGTCTTATACCTAGACTGACATACCGTCTCCGCTCAGAATTGTTTTTCTTATACAATGATATTATATCGTTGAATTCAAATTTAATACCATCCATTATCCAGTGACCCACTTGTACCCTACTGTACAGGAGAGCGACACCCACTTGCCCACCTTTTTTAAATTTTTTTTTATAATATAAAACATATATATAACATATATGTATATTATATATTATATAATATTATAAGATATTGATAAAAATAAGTATATACTTTGATTTTTTTATTACCAAGTCCTTTTTCTAGTGATGAAATTAAAAAAAAACACCTATCATTATTAAATGTATACATTCATCGCTTAGAATCTAAAATATGTACACAAAATCTTAATGTAATTATTATTCTGGTTTTTAATCATAAGTGAATAATTAAGCTACATAATAGGTATGGTCTGGTTAAAATGTTTTTGAAAATTTTACATTTTCTGCCCAAATGCTTTCTTGTGGTAGTGTGGTACTTATGTGATTTCATTTTGTTTTTTCTTAAAATAGGTAAAATTGTGCAATAGCCAATAAACATCTGTAATTTGAACATTCTGGCTTTGTTCAAGAGACTCTAAAGTAGATGTAATTTCAAGTTAAAAATATATTTATGTTTGAAATTAAAGTCTCTAGAAATGCCACAATTTAAAACAGTTTATTAGCTATGTAATTAAAAAAGCTATACATATCTACCTTTGTTCATAAGACGAACAGCCTCCCTTTCTCTTATAGTTTCACAGGCCATTCCTTCATCAAACATTAAAGAAACAGCTTTTTCTTTAGTTGGTCCAATAAGACGACGTTTCTTTGTGGTTTTGTGTTCGTTATTATAGTTACCAATATACGTGCAATACATGAGAACTCTATATTTAAAAAGAAATTCTTTTAGAATATTATGAAATATAATATAATATTGTCTGATGACAGTATTTGGATTATTAAGATAAAATGATTCAAATAGTTATTTAGATGAAGTTGGTTAACTTTACAAACACTGCTGATAATAAAATTAAATAATTAATAAACAAAAATTAATATTAAGGTAAAAATGATAGATAGTATAATATAGTGAAATGGTGAATTATTATATTTCTAGTTTACAACTTTACTTTGAATTTCCTGGTGGCTTTTCTTCAACTAATCCATTAAATTTGGAATCACACACAGAACAACGAGCCACTACACGTATATATGCTGACCCATTTGGGTACACTTTTGCTCTGCGAAATGACAAAACACATGGTAGTTGTGTGTGTACCCAAAAGTGTTCAGCTATAACAGGTGTCCAAGAACTCTTCGGTAACACATAATAAGATCTTGAACTCATCATTGGCCTAAGTTTGTCATTACATTTATACATTTTTTCTTCTGGCTGTATGTTATGCCATTCCTCCGAAGAAAATGTAAAAACAAATTTTTTTTTTGGTAAATTTTCTTCGTCGCTAGAATATTCACTAGAAGTTTCTTCTACAAGGAAAAACAAATTTTAAAATACAATTTTTAATTATATATTTTAATAAGTTTACGAACCAGTATTTGGATTGATATTAGTGAAATCATCAGACTTTCTAGATAATTTAAAAACCGTTGAAATTCCCAATTTTTCTTTTATGTTATTTCGTCCTTTATGAACAAACGTATGTATAGAACTGACAGACACGGATCCTCCAAGAAAATCAATAATATCTTTCCATACATTGTCTGAAGCTGGAACTATTAAGGTGCGATTCCTATGCGCGCGGCTGTAGTCGCGCGACTATAGTCGCGTCGCGGCGCGACCGTTGTTTTCAGCCGCGCGGGTACTTCTTTTTCATATTTTAAATGTAGGTAATTCCTAACACCGCGATTGAGCCGCGCGACCGTAGAGTGCGTCTACAGCCGCGCGGCGATGACCGCGCCCTACGAATTATCATTATTTACTATATCATCATTATATAAATTAAACACAAAAATGTCTTCCGAAACTTTGCAAATTTGTTTTTCGCCAGAAGATGATGTAAAGATTGCTGAACTTGTCAGCAAACATCCATCTTTATTTAATGCAGAACATGAATTGTACAAAGACCAAGTTGTTAGAGAAAATGTATGGAACCAAATATCAAGTGAATTAAAAAAAAATGGTAAGTTATACTATAGTTTATAGTTCACTACATTAAAATAATTTTATATATATAAATTGTAAATCTTATGTAGTTATATAAGTATATGATATTTAATTTATACTGAATAATACTTAATGCGATACCCAAGTATTACAATAGGTACAAATATTAGAATTAATTATAGTTTATGTTTTATATAAAGTGTTATAACTTATGATGACTGATAAACTAACTTATTATTATACATCTAAATTAATAAAATACTTTTACGTAATATCCGTTCTTTTCACTTGATAATTTTGCCATTGTACAGCCCCTTCTGGACTATTGAAGAATTTTTTGAGTTCATCCCTTACAAAAAAACCTTCAAAGTTCCCGTATCCTCCAACTCTTGCCAATGGTATCATGTTATTTGTATTTTGTGGTTCATTTGAGTCATAGTCATAGTAATGTTTTCCGGAATTTTCCAAATAACGATCACGAAGTAGATTGTGTAGACAGCATGCTGTTAAAACAAGGTAATCTACTGTTTCTGTTTTTAATGATATCGGGGTATAAAAAACGCGAAAAATTTGACTGAGAAGTCCGAAACTATTTTCCATTGTCCTCCTGGCACGTGAAAGACGATAATTAAAAACAGTTTTCTCATAATCTTTCCGAGACTCAACTCTTGTGTACGGACGCATCATATTTGATTCCAAACGGAAAGCTTCGTCACCGACATGCACATATGGTAAACTTATATCGGAATTTGGGATTTTCGATGGTGGAGGAAAGTATCCGCCCTTATTTATAAGGTCTGAAATTTTTGATTTATGGAAAATTCCGCTGTCCCCTTCTTTGCAGTAAGATCCAATGTCAACGAAAATAAATTTACAATTCGCGTCGACAATCGCTAATAATACTATTGAAAAAAATCTTTATAATTGAAGAATAATGAGCCACTCTTTCCAGGTGCGAAGATTCGAATATGTTTGCCGTCTATGGCGCCGACACAATTCGGAAAATTCCACCTCCTCCAAAATTCTTCAGATATTTGTATTAAATCATCTTTTGTTGGCATTTTTAGTAAAATAGGTGTTTGAATACTTAAACTTTGCAATACCATTCTTATAATCCGTGTTAAATAACTCTGAGAAATTCGGAAAGCAAAGGCCAACGATCTGAAAGATTCTCCAGTTGCCATGAATCTACATTTAAAAAAAATAATAAATGTGAATAAACCAAAAGTGTTTAATAATGTGATATTTTCAATTCGTCAGTAACATATTATTATTATACATATAATGGTTTAGTGATGATCGATTTTTTTTCTCCGAAAACACATGAGTTTACCTAGATTTCATTAACTAATAATTTATAGCGAAAATAATAAGAAATTATTTTGTATTCATATTAAATTTGATCAGTATACGAGGAAATGGCGAATTATTAATAATAAGATTCAAAATAAATGGAATTAATATTACGAAGTAACATGGTTGTTTTATACCTACTAATTGAAAATTACTGAAAAATTATTTAATTTTCCTAAAATCAATAAAGACGTCAAAAGTTATCTTGGTAATAGAATAATTTATGTCCATAATACACCTCTATTTTGAATTGAATATACTAATAATATTGCTAGAAGTCTTGTTTTGATTATCGCTATAAAAGAGGTTAGAGATGTTATTATTCTGTATATATTATATTTATATATTATATTCACAAAGCCACATTATCTAAAATCTAAAATCTAAATTATAATTGTATACAGTGGCGTATTTAGGGGGGGTGTCCTGGGGGTTAAACCCCCCCCCCAATTTTTTTCTTAGTTATATTCATTACTGAAGTATCACAAAATACGAATAACGAAATATTTTAAAACTGCTTTGAAAAATGAAAATTGAATAATGTATATTTTATATTTTCATCTTATACCAGATAATAGTCAATAGGTATTAGCATTGATTATATATATTGCGTGTGTATATATATATAAATAGCTCTCTAGGTGCAGCCGTGCAGGCAGTGGCGAAATAGCAGAATATTGTGAACTATGTAATTCTTAGAATTGTATTATCGTTTCGGCTAGCCGTATTATTGGTCATCGCCTTATTATCTTTCTTCAAATACAACAATTATTATTATCTACGATAGCAAAAGACCAACGATATAAAGTGTACTATGTACAGTTGTCAGTTGACAGTTGTACACTCGAACTTCGAAGTACAACAATATTATTTTTTTGCTGAACTGCTGCCAACTGTTGACGTCGTAAATACATCAAATTTACGTAAGTACAACATTATTGTAATTTATTTTTATAGCTTTTAAGCCTTTAAGGACTCGTACGAAACTATGAACTATACCTAATATGTAAAAACAATAGTTAAATTAATTAATTTAATATAAAATTAAAGAGTATTTAATTATGTTATTGTACTTTTAAAACAGTGAAAATGGCACAAAAGAAACAAACTTCTATTTCGTATTTTATGAAAATATCGAACTGTCGTAGTCAACCCGATTCTAAGCAGGACATTTCCTCATGTATTACGTCTGAATTAGAAGATACGTCACATTCATTATCATCCCCGTCCAAAAAGCGAGCACATTCTTCTATGATTTCTTCAATTAAAAATACAGATGATTCAACCCCAATATCAGATCTCGTCTCAAAATCTATTGTTGCTGATTCTACTAATTTTATGAATGTATATGATATAGGATTTTATATAAACCGTACATTATCACAAAATGAAATATCTGATATTATGAATAATCTATGGGTGCCAGATATCAACTACAAATTTCCAATAAAAATGTATATGAAAAAAAACAAGCAAATAAATTTAAAGTTTCAATATTCGTGGCTTCTGAAGTATCCATGGCTATGTTATTCCGAAAAAGCTTTTTGTAAATTTTGTGTAGCATTCGTTAAGTCTGGTGTTGGATATAACTCAAAAAAGCCAAATTCTTTTGTAGTGACTAAATTCGATAACTGGAGGAAAGCACTGGAAGGATTTCAAAACCATAGTATGAAAAATCGCGAACTTTTAACTCCGATAATCGAAGCAATCATTTTATGTGGCAGGCAGAATATAGCAATTAGAGGACACAGAGATTCCGGTAAATTAATGATCGACCAAACTGATGACGAATATGAAAACAATGAAGGGAATTTTCGGGAAATTTTACGGTATAGGGCTCGAGGTGATGAGCAGCTTAAATTATTTTTAGAAAGTAATGGACATTTAAAATACACAAGTGCGACGATTCAAAACGAAATCATCGAATCGTGTAACCAAATTTTATTGAAACGAATTGTGAGTAGAGTGAACTCTGCTCAATGTTTTTCAATACTCGCCGATGAAACAGCTGACATTGCGAACATCGAACAAGTAGCATTGTGTGCAAGATACTTCGATAAAAAAAATATGATATTAAAAGAAGAGTTTATTCAATTTATACCTACGTTTGATACGACCGGAAAAGGTTTAGCATCATTAATGTTAGAAAGCTTGCACAATTTTGGTATAGAAACAAAGTACATGCGAGGACAAGGTTATGACGGCGCGGCAGCAATGTCAGGAGAATTTAACGGCGTTCAAGCCATAATTCGTAAGACTCATTCTCAAGCTCTTTATGTGCATTGTTCCGCACATGTCCTTAACTTAGCTGTTTCAAACTCCTGCAAAGTACAGGAAATAAGAAATTGTTTGGGGACCATTTCTAAAGCTCGGGATTTTTTCAATTTTCCTAAAAGAAAAGATGTTTTAAAAACTCAAATTGAAAATAGTGATGAAAAAATCTCAAAAAATCATTAAAACGTCTTTGCGCTACCCGATGGATTGAACGTTACCATGCAGTGAATGATTTTGAAGAGTTATTTGAACAAGTGATAGAATCATTAAACTTTATATCTGAGTGGAAAGATGTTGAGACTTCTTCGCATGCCAGTAATCTGTGTAGTGCTATATTAGAAGGGGGATTTATTATTTCTATGCTTATAGTAGCTAAATGCATTAGTGTTGGTCTTCCTTTATCGAAACATCTTCAGCGGGTTAATATTGACCTTGGCGAAGCGATCCAATTAGCGGAGGATACAATAAAATAACTTGAAGATTTTCGAAAAAATGCTGATTCTATTTTCCAATACATTTTTGAAAATGCTGTTTCTCTTGGTAATAAATTTGGTATTACTTTAAGTATCCCTAGAACTACGAAAAGACAAGCAAACCGTGTCAATGTTGAAACTGATTCAATTGAAGTATATTATAGAATCGCTATATTTATACCTTATATTGAAACATTTATTGAGCAATTGAAAGTTCGATTTACCAGCCATAAAGCTATTTTAGTTAATTTTAATTCACTCATAAGTCTTAATACGGATGAAAACAATTTTTTGTCATTAACTGAAACATACATGGAAGATCTTTCTTCGTCCTCCAAGACAGTATTATTATCGGAGTATAATTTGTAGCAAAGACGACTGAGAAATTTAGAAACTTCTAACTATAGAAACGCAATGGAAGCTTTGTCTGTATGTAATCCAGAAATATACCCAAATATATTTAAATTGTTAACAATTTTTGCGACACTCCCAGTTTCAACTGCACAGAACGAAAGATCATTTTCATCACTTAAAAAGATAAAGACTTATTTACGTAAATACTATGGGCCAAGTAAGTTTATTTTTTTTTTTGACTAAGTCTAAATCATAATTATTAAATTAAATAAATAAATAATTGTTTTATTTAGAAAAAGCTAAATGGATTAGCCATGTTATCAATCAATCGGAAGGATCGCATTGAAAGTAAGCAAGTATTGGACGAATTGGCTGTAAAAAAAAGACGTCTACCTTTAATACTGTGAGGTTAAAGTTTTGAAATGTTAGTGTTTTTTTTTCTTTTAATGTATCTATAATATTATATAAGTATACAAAATAAATTAAACTCATACGAAAAAATACTCAGTAAATTTAAGTGTTAGATTGGTTTTATTTTATTCAGTAAAATTGTTTATACTTTATTCCTGTCATAATTGTATTATAATTAAAAATGTAAGTAGAAATCCTATAATTTTTTTACAAAAAAATTTCCACTTATATAAGGTATTAAGATGTTTTATAATCAAGTATGAATTAGTGATGAAACTATGTTAATATTTGTCATTAAATAACTGTGGAGATCAGGAGTCAGGACACCCCCCAAAAAAAAACCCAAAATACGATACTGATTGTATATACAAGATATGAATCATTCAAATAGTTCTTATATAGAAATTCTTATTAAGTCTTTATATTTTTAGCGTTGATTAATGATATTTTTAAATAATTTGAAGTTTACGCCTTAAAAATAAACCTTCGTCAGTATATAGATAGGCACCTACTATAGTTTAGTAAAATTGATCATAAATATGGTTATCAATACTTTTATTCTAGATTTGTACAACAAAGTGTATATAATTTTTTTAGTAAACGAATGCAAAAAGCGTTGGAAGAATATAAAGGATACGTACAATCGAAAAAAAAGAAATATGAAGATAGGAACAGGATCATCGGCTAAAAATAAACCATCAAAATGGCCTTTATCGGATGTTCTCTCATTTCTAGACGCACCATCCTATGAACGAGAGTAAGCAATAATTTCCATAATATTTGTATAGCAATCTAGGAAAATATTATTTTTAAATTAAAATAAAAGATAAAATTATATTATATATCTATAATTTAAAAACGTATAAAATGTATAATTATATTAGAATACAACATTGTTTTTATTTTCACTAATATCTATTATCTATAAATATAAAACAATATAAAAATTATTATTATTATTTTTTTTTCTGTAGAGGACTGTCCAACCTCTCAACCGATTTGAATGATAGTCGACATAGTGAAGATGATATAAGTCACAGTACTTCAATACCACATGTAATACAAGACGTACAAGAAGAAGAATATACGGAACAAGAAGAATCAGAAGAGACTACATTTAAACCGAGAAAAATAAAATTACCGCCCACAAAAAGTGCATCTAAAAAAGTTAAACAAAATGATTCGTTGGTTGAGTTACTAAATAAAGGCAATAACGAGAGAAAAAAAATTATGGAACACATTTTTAATGCAGATAGTGAAGATCCAATTGATGTTTTTTTCAAAAGCATGGCGTTGACTGTTAAACATTTTTCTCCGGCTTTGAAAGTAAAGGCAAAAATGGACATTTTAAGGATAGTTAGTGAATTGGAGATGGAAAATAATCAACAAACAAAAGAAATAAAGAACCAAAACAGTGTATACGTGGATTCTTCGTGTTCTACTCGAGTTAGTTCCCAATCACTCCAGTCAGGAATTTCAACATATAATTATTCTACTACATCAAACTCATTGGAAGCAGAAAATAATGGATCGGTTGAAGAAAGATTGACTTTCAAACACTCTTTAAATCAGCATAGAGAACATTCTTCAAATATCTATAACAATCTTCAAGCTTTAACCTACTACGACCAATCACAGAACAATGAATACAATGTATAAAGAGAAACCATTTTTATTACACACAGTTTAATTTTGCAAGTTGCGAAAGTCACCAGCTCACCAGAATTAAATTATTATTTAATCATTTTTAAATTTTAATACATTTAAGTTTTTAAATATTTAGCGGCATTATATTTTACAATATGTTTAAAATGAGTTGGATAAATTATGCATATAATTTATATTAAAACATTATTTTATGTTTAGTCTTTAACTATTATAATACTATATAAAGTTGAAAATGTACTTATTTAATAAAATGGTAATACATATTTTATACTTTGGGACGACCTGTTTACCTCTGTTTACCTGTTAACCTACGACTATAAGCGACTAATATGTGACTAATCAAATTTACCTTAATGTAACTGCTAATTTTTCTGCTGGACTGATTGGTTTTTTAATTTTATTAGTTGGATTGGAAGTTATGTCATCCTCTATCAAGTTTAACACGTAGTTAAACTGATCCCAGCTTAATCTGAAAAACTCTCGAAACTTCGTTTGGTCTTCCCATAAATGTTTTTCGATTAGTATACTAAAAAACCCTTCACTTTCCCTGGCTTGGAAAATTGTATGGGTTTGTTTTGATTTCTTTGACAGGTGATGGTGTATTAGTGCTTGTTCTTCGTCAATTTCTTGTAAACACAGTAATGCTAGTAATTGTTTTTTGCGACGTGACACCAACATGTTAAATGTTATACTAATCGACTTAGTTAAAAACAAAAAAAAGTTTAATTTTAATTTTTAAACTTTAAAAAATTTAAGAAAATGTATTGATACTAGACAGAACTATCTCGGTAGGACTACAGTTATCACACTGTCGCGTCGTGCTCGTCGCTCATAGGAATTCATTCTTGCCGGCGCGGCTGAAAACAACGGTCGCGCCGCGACGCGACTACAGCCGCGCGCATAGGAATCGCACCTTTACTATGTGCAAGTGAAGAATTATAAATTAGATAGGTAGGTACAAGAAAATACTAATTATAATTTATTCATATGACTATACCTAACACTAACAAAGTAATATATTTATAATACCTACTATTGCTCTTACCTAACCTATAGCTTATTATTTATATATAATTTTATTATACAAGATTGGTTATTAAAATTTTATATTATGTGTATGGCAGATACAGAAATTTTGTATCTACTTAATGTCCAGTTATTTAACATACAAGTATTTCTACTAACTACTATTTACTACTAAGAGGGACCAATACAATGTAATATACCTGCAGTCAATTCCATACTAAGTAAGTACACATTTGAGCTTATACAAGTTATAATCGTAGCCTAGAAAATAATCCGTATACTAGCGCGTGTATTCATTTTAATGGGTTTTGACCATTTTTCCAGTTTCCAGTTGATTGTTTATATAGTTGTTGTTAGCATTAATTATTCTGATGACATATTTTGAACATTGCACCTTAGATTACTCTTTGTCTAATTCATGCGGACAACGTTTGGCCGTAGGTACAGGTAAATAAGTAAATTATACTTATAATATAATTATTTTTACAGTTACTGTGTATTATTATAAGAAAAAGTATGAATGAGAATTTGTTCAAAGGGACCTAAGTTATATTTATGACCAAAATAGTTTTTATGGTAAATTATAATTTATTTTCTTATGTAAAATTGTATGAAATTATTAAAGGGTAGGTAGGTATAGGTGTTTCTATTTTATTGTAACTTACATTTTTAATGAATTAATGTGCCCAATATATCTACTTAAAAAAACTTACCTAACTAGGTTTATGTAATATACAAAGGTGGGCATTAACTAGTTGAAAAGTTAAAGTTCAGTTAAAAAGTTAATTTTTTTTAACTTTTTAACTTAACTAGTTAGTTTATTTTCTAATCACCTTATGAACTTAAATAGTTTAATTTACAATTGAAATAACTTAGCTTTTCTCAGTTGATTTAAAAAAAATCCATTAAGTTAAAACATTTTGAAATTGTTCGTTTATACTTAAATATTACAACTTTCGAACGCTCATAAAAATTTAATTTGACTTTCTTATAAACATTTTTTTTTTTTTTGATAAAGGTAGATAATCTTATAAGGAATCTTGTATTACATTTTCAAATCTTAGATTAAAAGAAAAATTTTTACGAATTCTTAACTCAAAATAATTTGCTAATTTTCGTGATTTTTCCATATTTTGTCAATTTTTTAACTTTAAATGCTTAAAAAAAAAAAATTGTGACTAAGTATTTTTAATATTTTTCATCTGCCTTTAAAACAATATACTAGGAGCCTTCTACTAAATTTTCAACTTT